TCCTTGTGAGGGGAGGGAAGGGAAGAATCTTCACCTCTGCTAACACCTAGACCTGGCAAAGAGGTATGGAAAGGGCAAAGCCGAGGAGGGAGCAGAGCCTCATTACGCAACCTTGTTATCTAACGACCACGGGGCCACCCTGGAGGGGCTCCCTGTCTGCAGAGGGCAAAGGGGGAGAGATGCCACCAATACCTGACTCACTGGCTCACCAAGAGCCTCCCAAGACCTTCGGAGGTGGAACCTTTCCCAGTTCACCGGGAGAACTGGGGAGGTCTGGCTCATTTCCCTGTCTCCACCCACCACCATGTAACAACAGCTCCTGCTGCTCTTGCATATATAGACAGGTATGGCCCCACACCTGGCTGCACGCAGAGCAGCCCGGAGACCAAGGAATCCCAAACTTTCATCCTTCCTGGCCTCCTTCCTGCTGCCACCATGAAGAAGGAGATCCTCACCTTGGCCTTTGCTCGCTCTGTCTTCGTCGAGTTCCTCTCCACCCTCATCTTCGTTTTTATCGGCCTCGGCTCAGCCCTGAAATGGCCTTCAGCCCTGCCCAGCATCCTGCAGATCTCCTTGGCCTTCGGCTTGGCCATCGGCACCTTGGTGCAAGCCTTCGGCCACATCAGCGGTGCCCACATCAACCCCGCGGTCACCATCGCCTTCTTCGTGGGCAACCAGATCTCCTTCCTGCGCACGCTGTTCTATGTCCTGGCGCAGCTGGTTGGGGCCATCGCCGGCGCCGGGATCCTCTACGGCGTCACCCCGGCCAACACGCGTGGCAACCTGGCCATCAACGCCGTGAGTGTGCCCGGGGCTCAGCCGGCCCTCAGTGCTCTCATCGCCTCCTCTCCTCTAATCCTCTCCATCTCCTCTTCGTTCCCACTCTCCTCTCTTCTCCTTCTCCTCTTCTCCTCCTCCTCTTCTCCTCTTCTCTCCCTCTCCTTTCCTCTCCTCCTCTGCCTCTCCCCTCCCCTCCTTCCTTTGCCTTCTCCTTCCCTTGCCTTGCCTTCTGGTGTTCTCCTTGCCTTGCCTTGCTTTTCCCTTCCTTACCTTGCCTTTCCTCCCTCTCCTTTCTTTTCCTTGCCTTTTCCTTCCTTTCCCCTTTCCCTCCTTTCCCTTCCTTTCATCTCCTTTTCTTTCCTCTCCCAACCCTAACCCTTCACTGCCTTCTCTCCCTCTCCTTTCCCTTTCCCTTCCTTTCCTCTCCTTTCCCTTTTTGCCTTACCTTGTCATCTCCTTTGCTTCTCTTTTGCTTCTCCTTTGCTTCTCCTTTCCTTCCCTCACCTTTCCTCCTCTTCCCTCACTTTTCCCCCTCTCCCCTCCCCTTCCCTCCCTCCCTGTCCTGTTCCTGCAGAGTGCGGATTCCCCCGGAGACAAATCCACTGTCCCTTCCCAGTGCTGTCCCTTCCCCTTACCAGTGCTGTCCCTTCCCAGCGCTGTCCCTTCCCCTTCCCAGCGCTGTCCCTGTCCCTTCCCAGTGCTGTCCCTGTCCCTTCCCAGTGCTGTCCCTTCCCAGCACTGTCCCTTCCCACCGGGAATGTGCCTGGAGCAGGAGCAGCCAGCAGAGCAGAGCTGGGCCATGACAGCTTTATTGTGTGGGGTGATGAGTGGGAGGTTTTCCTCCCTCCTTTAATGAGTCCTTCCTCTAGCCCCGGGGCCACAGTGACTCACACACCCCATTGAGATGTTCCTGCAGCTTCTCCACCTGGAGATTAGTGCCAGGATGGGAGTGGGGGGAGGGAAGGGAGTAGAGCCCAGTGCCACCAGTATGGGCAAGGGGAGGGAAAAAACCTCCACTGGAAGCACGGGGAAAAAGGCAGAGGGTGGTGGAGAAGAGCTGGAGAATCATAGAATCCACCAGGTTGGAAGAGTCCTCCGAGATTGAGTCCAACCCTACCGTGGTCACCAGACCATGGCACTGAGTGCCACCTCCAGTCTCATCTGGAGTGACCAAGGAGGGTGAGAAGCTCAGGGGAGCAGGAGCTGCTGTTGGGGAGGAGAGGAGACAGCAAAGCCATTGGAGATCAGCAGGGATGAGGAACTTATCCCAAGGGCTCAGGAAGTGCTGGGAAAGGCCCCGAAGGGAGAGAGGTGGAGATGCTGCTCCAAGCAGCTCCAGAGTCCTCGGAGCAGCAGAGGGATGATGGGATTGAGGTGCTCCAGAACAGCCACAGTTAGCCCCAAAACAAACTGGGATGGGTTGGGTCACTGGAGTCTGCCCAAGTTTGGTGGGGTCGAGTCCATCTGAGCTCCCAGTGGGTTGGGCAGAGGCACCAGGAGGACAACAGGTCTTGGCAACCCCAGGAGATTGTGTCAAGTTCATCCCAACCCTCTCTCTTCATCCTATCCTTACTCTTCATCCATCCCAACCCTCTCCTTCCATCCATGTCCTCACCCTTCATTCCCAACCCTCTCTCTTCATTCCCATCCTCTCCCTTCATCCTCACCCTCTCCATCCCAACCCTCTCCCTTCACCCTCATCCTCACCCTTCATCCCAATCCTCTCCATTCATCCCAATCCTCTCCCTTTATCCATCCCTACCCTCTCAAGGGAACATCAGGAGATGTAGAGGAACTTGGGAGAGAGAGAGACATTTTGGAGCATTACCAAGGAGGAAATTTATCTCTATCCTTCCAGAGAAGGAGCAGTGATCCAACATGGTCCATCATGACTGGGCAGGAGACCTGAGGGTCTTCTCACCCAACTTCCCCCACTCAAACCCTCCAGGAAAGCACCCAAGCCTTTCCTCCTGGTGATGCCAACCCAGAGATGGTGAAGTATTGTCCCTCTCCTGCTTTGCAGCTCAACAACAACACGACCCCAGGCCAAGCCCTCGTGGTGGAGATCATCCTGACCTTCCAGTTGGCTGCTTGTATCTTCGCCTCCACGGACAACCGGCGCAGCGGCGTGGGCTCCCCAGCACTGTCCATCGGCCTCTCCGTCACCCTGGGGCACCTGGTGGGGGTGAGTGGTCAGGGCAGAAGGGCCTGGGAGGATGGAGATGCCCAAAAATACTCTTGTGCCAACCTTCAGCCCAACCTGAACCCTTCAGCCCAACCCTCTCCATCCCAACCCTCTCCCTTCATCCCAGACCTTTCCCTTCATCCCAACCCTCTCCCTTCATCCCAGACCTCTCCCTTCCTCCCAACCCTCTCCATCCCAACCCCCTCCCTCCATCCCAGACCTCTCTCTTCCTCCCAACCCTCTCCCTCCATCCCAGCTCTGCAGAGGGATCTGCATTGGAAGAGCCAACATGGGATGTATCAGAGCTCCTTCTCCATGGTGGTGCTGCTGCTGCTGGTGGATCTCCATCTCTCTGCAGCAGCACCAGGAGCTGTTTCAGCCTCTGCTGCCACCAACTTGGTCCTATCTCCTCCTGACCTCTCCTTTCCATCCCACCAGATCTACTTCACCGGGTGCTCCATGAACCCTGCGAGGTCCTTGGGCCCTGCAGTCATCGTCAGGAGGTTCAGCTCAGCACATTGGGTGAGCAGCAGGTCACGAGGGGCTGGTGGAGACCTGTCATTCCCAGGGCTCAGTGGTCCGGAGTCCATCCCAGGAAGGATGGGAAGGAGCTGGAGAAGGAGGAAGGTTGTCCCACTTGGTGCTTGGAGACAGTGACAGGACAAGGAGAAACCTTCTCTAAAGGTGTTTGGGTGGGAAGGACCTTAAGGATCATACCCTCCCACCCCATCCATGGGCAGGGACACCTTCCACTCACCCAGAACCACCTGCAAGCTGATCCCAAGCCTTGCAGAGCAGATTGGGTCTTCAGGGAGCAAAACCTGAGGAGGTTCAACCCAAGGAGCCACCAGAATGAGGGTTTGGATCTCCTCACGGGGTTGGAGATGTGGAGCAGTGAGGAATATGTGTGAGATGATGAAACCTACAGAGATACACAACTTAGTTTTCTCTCTCACCCAGAACCACCTCCCCAAGCCTTGAGGAGCAGGTTTAGAATCACAGAACCACCAAGGCTGGAGGAGACCTTGGTTTGGTCTTCAGGGAGCAAAGCCTGAGGAGATTTCAACCCAAGGAGCCTCCAGAACAAGGGTTTGGTTTTCTCCATGGGGTTGGAGATGTGGAACAGTGAGGAACAGATGTGTGTGTGTGATGGCTGGACCTTCTCTCACCTTGTCCCTCGTTGCTCTCCAGGTCTTCTGGGTTGGGCCCATCGTTGGGGCTTGCTTGGCCTCTCTGCTCTACTTCTACATCCTCGTGCCCTACTGCATGAACATGTCAGACAGAGTGGCCATCATCAAGGGCACCTACGAGTCGGAGGAGGAGTGGGAAGAGCAGCGGGAGGAGAGGAAGAAATCCATGGAGTTGACCCCACCCTAGGAGCAGCTGGAAAAGCCAAGCCAAGGGCAGGGGGAGGAGGCCCCACACGACGACCACATCCAGCTGCAGTAGACTCTCCAGCCAATGCTCCTCACTCCAAGCCCCCGTGGGACTGTGGGGAAGGCAGGAGAAGACAATGTGTGTGTAGATAACCCTGTCCTTGTGTGTCTGAGTGCTAGAACCTCTTCCCAGCTTACCTGTAGCAGCTAAGTCCAGGGACAGACCTTCCGCTGGAGCTTCACACCCACCAGGCTCCAACCCTGCCCAACCTGGGGCAGCTCTGCACCTTGGCAGGGGGTTGAGGCCACCTGAGGCCACCTGAGGTATTTCAATCCTGGTCCAGGTGATGGAAACATCTTGAAGGGCCAAGAGAAGAAGAGACCACCTGAGGTATCTCAACCCAGGTGCAGGTGGGGGAAACATCTTGTAGAGCCAAGAGGAGACCACCTGAGACATTTCAACCCTGGTCCAGGTGATGGAACCATCTTGCAGGGCCCATACAAGAGGAGACAACCTGAGACATTGCAACCCTGGTCCAGATGGTAGGAACAACTTGTATGGCCCAGAGAAGATCACTTGAGGTATTTCAGCCATGGTCCAGATGATGGGAAGTCCTTGTAGGACCCAGAGAAGATCATCTGAGGCATTTCAACCCTGGTCCAGGTGGTGGGAAGAACTCATAGGTCCCAGAGAAAATCACCTGAGGTATTTCAGCCGTGGTCCAGGTGGTGGAAACACCTTGTAGGTCCCAGAGAAGATCACCTGAGGCATTTCAGCCACGGTCCAGGTGGTGGAAATGCCTTGTAGAGCCACGAGAAGAGGAGGAACTGCCTAGGGCAGGTGGGTGCTGCAGCCTCCCTGTCCCTCCCCACCCCCAGGGTCTGTGCTGGTAGTAGAAGCTCTTTGATGCCTTAGCTGGTGCTGGTGAGTCCAACCCATCCCTGGCTGCATGGAGAAGACGACGATGTCGTGGATTCTGCGTCGAGATCTCTGTGCCACAGTTTGTTATTTATTGCAAATAAAGGACGTTTGGAAGGAAAGGCTGCTCCAGGATCAGGTTCTTGGGAGAAAAAAGGAATTGGGATGGGTGGAAACTCAAGCCCAAGAGAAGGAAGGTTCAGGTCCTCAATCCTTGGGCAGCTTGAGGAGGTGGAATGGGAGGTGAGAACGTTGGGCCTGGGAAGGGTAAATGGGTGATGGAGTTGAGGGGGAGAGCAAGGGGTGGTAGGTCCAGGGTAGGTAGAGGTCCATCTTCAGGGATAAGTCCACCTCCAGGGCTGGAATCTCATCTTCAGGGCTGCTGGAGATCCATCTCGGAGAGTGATCCACTACATTCTCCAGCCTCTTTGGCAGCTGCCAAACCTGCTGACCTTCTGCCCCGGCCTCGCTCTTCCAGTTCCACCACAACCCTCTGCCAAAGCCTCTTAGGGACATGGGGCACCAGGCCCAGCTCTCCCTCCCACCACATCCCTCAATCCAGCTCCTCCTCCTGCCCCAGGAAACACCCTGTGGGGCCTGGTGGAAAGGCCTTGTAGGGTCCAGAGAAGAAAGAATCACCTGAGGCATTTCGCCCCTGGCCCAGGTGGTAGAAAGCCCAAGGAGAGGTTTCCAAGCCCAGGGAGGGAGAAGAAATCACAAAGTGTTTTGGAGGAGCCTTTTGGTTCCTGCCCCTTGCAGAAGGTCATCCCAGAGGGGCTGAAGGGGCAGAAGTGCTGCTGGGAGAGAAGAAACCTCCATGCTTGGAGGTCAGATGGGTGTTGGCCTTAGTCATGGCCCAGGCTGTGCCAGCACCACCTCCTCAGAACCTTCCTCCTCCCACTCAGCCCCTGCCCAACCTGCTCCTCCTGCAGCAGGAGCAGCTCATGGGGCTGGTGAGGGCCACCAGCCACCCCTGCTGGGGTCTGCAGCTCCTGGGACCAGTTCTGGTGCTCTCTGCTTCAAGTCCTGGAGCTCTGGGGTTCAACACAACCGTGGTGGGACAGATTGGGCACCTACCAGAGGTGGGACAAGCGGCTGTGCTCCTGTCTCTGCAGAGCAGCAAGACCTCAAGAGGTCCAAGAGCCTCCCGTGTGCATGGGCCCTGCAGCACCATGACTCCTGGGACTGCAGGAGGACAGAAATTGTCCAGAGAGGGCAAGAGGAGGTCCTAAAGGTGCCTCCAGAATGGCACTTGGGTAACTCTCAACTCATCTTTAGCTACTCCTAAGGCAACATTAGGAACTCCCAACTCTACAGCCCCAAATAATAACTCCCAAATGAATCCCAAATAACTCTAATAACTCCCAAATGAATCTTAGCAACTTCCAACTCATCCTTATCTACTCCCAACTTCTACAGCCCCCGAACACCTCTAACAACTCCCAACTCAACCTCAGTAACTCCCAACTCCTCCAGCCCCAAATGCCTCTTGGAGGCCAAACCAGGTGGGACCAACCAGCACACACCTCAGGGTGGGAGACCAGAAGTGACCTCAGCCCTGACCCAACCCTGGGAGCTCTGGAGCAGCCCCAGCCATGAGTGTCCAGGACATCCCTTGCTGGGATTGCTCCATGGAGAACAGACAGAAGACTGGGAAAACCCTTACCAAAGCAGATCCACCCGAGGGGAAAACCTCACTCTGGTCCCATCCAACCCCCAGCAAAGTTCACCCACAGCACTCAGGAGGTTCCTCCCTCCTTCCCCTGCTGTGTGAGGACTTGAGGCTCAGCACCAGCAGGATCAGAGCTGTCCCTGCTGCCAAGTTTCCTCTTGCTCAAGCCCTTTCTGCCTTTGCTTTCCAGGATCCAAGTCCTTTGTTGCCGTTGGAGCTTAATCTCCTGCCGCAAAACAAAGTCCACCAACAGCTCCTCTGATGGTTCCTCTGCTCCGGGTGGGGGCAGCAATAAAAGAGCAAGAGGGAAGGGAAACCCAAGCAATGCTGAGGGCCTGAGACCTGCCTGACAAAGGGACATTGTTGGGAAAGGTCAGCTCTGGAGCTGGGAGGGTTTCCCAGGCAGAGAGAGAGGAGAAAGTGAGGACTTAGCAAGCAACCAGGGGATTAAGAGGAGATTTGCTCAGGCACAGCCCAAGGGTGGAGGATTCGGAAATGTCTCAGCTCCCACGGGGCAGAGCTTGGGCTGCTTTTCTCCAAAGCAAGAGGTGTCCAAGGTTCTGGTGGGATCACAGGGTGGCCTGAGATGGAAGGATCCACAAGGATTATCAACTCCAACTCCTGTCCCTGCACAGACACCCCAAAATCCAACCCTGGGCCTGAGAGGGTTGGTCAAACACTCCTGGAGCTCCTTCAGGGTTGGGGGTGGCACCTAGCTCCCACGGGGCAGAGCTTGGGCTGCTTTTCTCCAAAGCAAGAGGTGTCCAAGGTTCTGGTGGGATCACAGGGTGGCCTGAGATGGAAGGATCCACAAGGATTATCAACTCCAACTCCTGTCCCTGCACAGACACCCCAAAATCCAACCCTGGGCCTGAGAGGGTTGGTCAAACACTCCTGGAGCTCCTTCAGGGTTGGGGGTGGCACCTCAGCCCTGGGGAGATGTTTCAGTGCCCAAACACCTCTGGGGGAAGAACCTTCTCCTGATCTCCAGCCTCACTCACCAGGATGGACAGGACAAAAACCTCAAGGACTCTCCCCATGCAGCAAAGCTGCTCAGAAGAAGTGTCACCTGATCCATCCCAGAAATCTCCCCTGGGAAATCACCACTGAGCAGCAAAACAAAGCAAACCAAGCCCTTGGCAAGTGTCCTCCAGGATCCAGGACCTCCTGTGCCAGTTTGACATCAATCCTGCTTGGCAGGGCCAGGGAGAGCTCTGGTGGCCACAAGCAAAGTGCAGCTGCAGGTGGATACAAAACCTTCTTGTGCTGCCAAAAAATAAAACAACAAACCTCCAGTGTCCTCTACAATCAGCCCTTTGAGAACGGCCCTAGAAAAACATCCATCCCTCTTCCCCAACAAACCTTGCAGCCCCTGATGGGATTTTCCCCCTCATTCCCAGGAGCTGTGTGGATTTTTGGGGGTGGAGCAGGTGAGTTCCTGCCAAGGAGCTGAAGCAAAATGAGAATTTTTCCCACTCTTTCACTTCAAATCCTGTCATTTTTTTGAAGCCATTTCACCCCAACCACCACCAGTTTCCAAGCCCTCCAAGTCAGGAGCAGAACCCTCCGTCAGGAGATTCGAAATCACCAGCAGGGAAGGATAACAAACTCTCTCTCTTATCTCTTGGAGCAGATTACCTGCGGCAGCTTCACAAAGAAACCTCAGGGGAACAGTTAATCAGGTGATAAAACCCCATCAGGTGTGTAAACACAAACCTCCTCCTCCACCAACCTCAGGTTTCTCTCCCGTGTCCTTACCCTGGAGTTTTGCCTCAGTTTCTTTGGAACTCTTGTGATGTTCACCAGGGATCAGCACTGGGCCCAGTTTTCCTTGGAGGAGGAGGTTGAGCTGCACTTCAACAAGTTTGTGGCTGAGCCAAAGTTTGGGAGGGAGTGTGGATCTGCTGGAAGGCAGGAGGGACCTGGAGACATGAGCTGATTGCCATGGGAGGAGGTTGAACAAGGCCAAGTGTGGTGTCCTACACTTTGGCCATCCCAATCCCACCCGGTGGGACAGAGTGGCTGCAGAGCAGCAGGAGAAAGGGACCTGGAGTTGGGGTGGACAGGGAGCTGAGCAGGACAAGCAGCGTCCTTGTCCCTCAGGGGGACAAGGAGGTCAATGCCATCCTGACCTGGAGCAGGGACGGTGTGGTCAGCAGGACCAGGAGGTGATTCCTCCCCTGGACTCAGTGCTGGTGAGGACACACCTTGAGTCCTGTGCTCAGTTCTGGGCCCTCAGCTCAGGAGGGACATTGAGGGGCTGGAGATCAGGAGAAAGTTCTTCTCCCAGAGGTGTTTAGGCACTGGGACAGAGTTGGGTTGGAGATCAGGAGAAGGTTCTTCCCCCAGAGGTGTTTGGGCACTGGGACAGGGTTAGGTTGGGGGGAAGGAGAGGGAGGAAGGAGTAGGAGCAGGAGAGAGGGAAGGAGAGGGAGAGTGAAACCCTCATGGCTGAGCAACCCCTTGGCCTTCATTTAATCAGGCAAGTGGATCTGGAGGCACAATTTGTCATCTAATTACCCCAACACACCCAGGATTAATTGCTGAGGAGCTTTGATTTATGGCCCCGTCAGCTTTCGTCAGCCGTTACCGCCGACAGATCCGAGCTCACATAGCTCCAAAAAACCCTAATTGGGTATTTTTTTTTTCTTTTTTGGGGTAGAGTTAAGAGTTACCTAATCCTCTCCTAAAGGTTGCTGAGGGTTGGAGTAATCAAGAGGGTGTAATTAAGAGCTTTGCTGCAGCTGCTTGGAGCTTTGCCCAGGAGGTTTTTTTGGGATTGGGATTTGCCTCCCGAGGGGTTGGGAGTTCATGGGCAGGAAGGAGAAGGGAGGGGAGAAAAGAAGGAAAGACTATCAAGGAGGGTCAGGGAGCAGGAGGGACAAGCCAAGGAGGTTCAGGGAGAAGGAAGGACCATCAAGGAGGGTCAGAGAGAAGGAGGAACAAGCCAAGGAGATCTGAGGAGCAGGAGGGATCACAAAGGAGGTTCAAGGAGAAGGAAGGTCCACCGAGCAGGAGAGACAAGCCAAGGAGGACCAGGACAAACAAACCAAGAAGGCTGAAGGAGCAGAACCACCAAGGGTGTTCAAGCACCAGCAAGACCAAGTCAAGGAGGTTCAGGGAGCAGGAGGGATAAGCCAAGGGGATTCAAAGAGCAGGAAAGGACAAGCCAAGGAGGCTCAGGGAGCAGGAGAGACCTCAAGGACTGTGGTCAGAGTCTTCCACACAGCTCAGCATCATCTCAGCCTCCCACCACACTCTTCCTCAGCCAGGAGCACCTGGCAGGAGGTTGGGGACCATCAACCCTTCAGGTCTTATTTCCTGCCCCAAAACTCTGCACAGAGAGGGGAAAGAAGGACAAAAATCACCCTCAGCCCTTCAGAGCTGCCAAAATACCTGGTAGGAACTCAGGGTATTGTCCTCCAGCAGCTCCTCCCTTTGCTCTAGAACATCCCTGAAGCAAAACAAAAGGCCAAAAAAAAAAAAAAACCAGCCCAAAAATGCCTCAACCAAACCCACACAGAGTCACCTGAGGGAGGGTCCAACCAGTGACCTGAGAAGGTCTTTACCTCGTTCTGCCTTGGTCATGCTCTGCTGCTCAGGGATGAAATCAGCTCCACTCATGGTGGGAAGGGAGGGAGGAGGCCACAAACACCTTCAGCCACGAGGAAAATGAGAGTGGAGAGCTCTGACTCATGGCACATCACGCTCCAAATCCCACCTGAGGGACACCTGGGGGAAGAGTTCCCATCCTCTTGCTCTGGGTTGGGTCCAAAACCACATCTCTGTGGGCAACAAACGTCTCTGAGAAGATCCCAGAGTGAAGTCCAAGTCTTTATCCCTCCTCAAATCCCTCCCAAGTTCACCTTCTCCCCAGGTTGGCCACAGATAGAAGGGTTGGAGCCATTGGATGGGTCTGGGGTGACGTTGGGGTTGGTTTTCAGGGTGTTCCACGGAGGTGTTGGAGGGTCAGGGAAGAGGTTTGGAGTCCCAGGGCAGGAGGTGTTGGTGGCAGGAGGAACAGAGGAGAGACCAGAAAAGAAAGGACAGAGGAGGGAAGGACAGAGGAAAGGACTGGAGGAAGGACAAAAGAAAGGACAGGAGAGGGAAGGAGAGAATAGAGAAGGACAGAAGAAAGGACAGGAGAAGGAAGGATGAGCAGAGGAGCTGAGGACAGGAGAAGGAAGGACTGGAAAAGGATGAGCAGAGGAGGCGAGGACAGATAGAAGGACTGAAGAAAGGACAGAGGAGGGAAGGACAGAAAGGATGGAAGGAAGGGCAGAGAAGGAAAGACAGGAGAGAAGGACAGAAGGATGAGCAGAGCAGAGAAGGACAGAAGGAAGGACAGGAGAAGGATGAGCAGAGGAGGGAAGGACAGGAGTAGGTTGCCACCTGCTGTCCATACCAACCCTCCCAGCTCCTAAACCCTCACAGAACTCCTCTCTGCACCATCCTAAACCTCAGCTCACACCCCCACGGTGAGATCCTCCAGGGTGGAAAGGGGTGACCAGGACAGGGAACACTCGGGAAGAGGGACTACCCAGTCCCAAGAGCCACAATAAACCCCCAAGGACAGTGATGAAAGCTCCTGGGGGACATTCCTTCCACCCACACCAACTAGCAGCAGCAAGGACCAAGATGACAAGCTCTGTGTGTCTCCACTCACTCTGTGTGTGTGTGTGTCCTCCTGGGCCAGGAGAACATTGCAAAGTGTCACCACGAGCTAATTTGGTGGCACTAAGAATAACCATCCCACCCAAGGCATGGGTAGGAGCTCTGGACCTCTCCTCCAAAGGTTGAGCTAATTAATGTCCTACCTTCCTCCTCGAGTGTCTCTCTGTCTCCTCAGGCTGTGATTGGCCCTAATTAAGAGGCTCTTCCAGATGAGAAGCACCTGAACATCGACCACGTTGTGACAGTAATTAGAGGAACCTCTTGGGTGGAATGATCCTAATTAGCCAAGCAGGAGCTGAAAGGTCCTGGGAGGAGAGCACAGAAGATGGGGGAGAAATCAGGATGGGGAGATCTCATCTCTGCTGGTGGCAGGTGGGAGAGACACGGCCTGACCTCCCAAGACTTGTGTTTCTCTCCCACAGGCCATGTGAAAGGACATGCTGAGTCCTCCAGCACTGGATTCTTGGGATTCTTTGGCTCAAAAACTCCCCAGATAACTCAAAACTGCTCCAGGAACATCCCAGAAACGTCTCCTGTCGTCAGGGTCAGAATGAGGAGCCCTCAAAACTCATCTGACCTTCAGAAGGTCTTCAGGGAGCTGAAGGCTCTGCCCCCTACTCACCTGGGCTGGGTGTCACCACTCTGAGGTGTTCCCACTCCTCTTCCAGAGCCAGATCCAGGTTCTTTAGGGATCTCCATGGTCTTCCTCTTCCCAAGACCTTTGTCCTTCATGGACCTCAAGGATTTGAAGCCACAACCCCATGGGACATCCCTGCAAAGCTACTGAGCTTGGCTTGAGGAGTTCTAGGTGATCCTGGAATGAACCTGGAAGTGGCCTGGACACCCAGAGCCGCTCCTGGTGTCTCATGTCATGATCCAATGAGCCAATGAGAGGGAAAATTCACACCTGACTCGAGGGTCACCACCAACTTTGGATCACACCTTGGCTTTGTCCAGCTGAGGAGCTCCAACCTGAATTTTCCCCCCCAGGAAGCAGCAGGGATTCCTTTTCTCCATGGGGTTTGAACTCCAATCAAGGTGTTTGTAAGGGCAATTTTTGGGAAGAGGAACCACCTCCCTATGCCACACGAGGTCACCACCAGAGAGAAGGAAACCAAGAGATCACTTACTCCTCTGGGCCAAGGAAAAAAAAAAAAGGAAATCTAAGGGAAACGGGAACAAGAATGGAAGGGGTAAAAAAAAAAAAATCCAACCTCCTGGAAGGGTTGGAAAAAAACGAAGCTCCGTTGATATTTCTGGCAGCAGCAACAAGTAAGATCTTCTCTAATGATTCATGGTGACCCTTCCAGGTGCCACCAAGGTACCCATGACCTCCCTGTCAGCTCTGGGCGTCTTGCTAACGAGCTTAAAAGCTCCAGGAGGGAGAGGAATTTCAGGCAGAAGCAGCTGGAAGGAGGAAAATCCGATCCGGCACGGAGGGAAGAGGAAAGGTAAGTGTTGCTCCTTCCCTTCCTTCCCTCCTGCTCCTCAAGGGGCTGTAGCAGAGGGATCAAAAGCACCTGAAGAGAGGAACCAAATGTTTGGTTGGCTGCAGGTCAAGGGGGGAGGTGGAATTTTATCCCCCTGGGATGTCTAAGGGGTGGAATTTTGTCCTCCTGGGATGTCCAAGGGGTGGAATTTTGTCCCCATGGAACGTCTAAGGGGTGGGAGGTGGAATTTTATCCCCCTGGAAGGTGTTTCATGGAGCAGTGGATGGTGAGGAAAAGTCTCCAGCTCTGCTCATCCCAGGAGAGCAAAGTCCATCCTAGGTGGAAAAAAATGAGAAGATTGGGATGAAGTTTGTTGCACTTAGGGATGACTTCAACCACCAGTCAGAGCTGAGGAGCAGTGAGAGGTCCCAGACTGGGGAGGACCATCCATCCACATCCAGGACAGGAGGTTGTCCCTGACATGGGAATTACATCCCTGGAGATTTCCAGCTCCTTTTCTTGCCCCTCCAGGAGGACAGGAGCAGATGGTGTGGGGTTTGTACCTCTCTGGGCTGCTGGTTGCCACTCTCATCCCACCAGGATGCCAGTTGGATCCCAAGGACTTGGAGAACTCCTCCAGGTAATGGTCTTGGTGGAGTTTTCCAGGCAGGAGCTGTTGGATTAACTCCTCCTTCTCCATTCCCATTGCTGTCCCAGCTCTCAGGGTTTCCTGGTTGTGTCTCCATCCAAGGACATTCCCATGGGAAGGGACAACTTCCCACCAGTCCAGGTGGCTCCAAGTCACATCCAGCCTGGCCTGGGACACTCCCAGGGGTCCAGGGATTGAGCAGCCACAGCTTCTCTGTGCCAGTGCCTCAGCACTCTCACAGGGAAGGATTCCTTCCCAACATCCCATCTCTCCCTGCCCTTTTCCAGTTGGAAACCATCACCCCTTGTCCTGTCACTCCAAGTCCCCCTGGAGCAGGTTCCCTTTGGGAACCTTCTGTGGTCAATCCCAACATCACATCTCCATCCTGGAGCTGGAGGAGGAGAATCTAACCCTTGGAGAAGGATCTGATCCCTGTCAGGTGTGGAAATCAGGACAGGGTGGAAGTGCAAATCCACCACAGCTGAGCAGGACAGAGAAAATTTGGGATGGGGTTTTGGGTGTATTGGATGTCAGGAAGGCCCTGGAGGAGCTTCTTGGACCTCCCTGATGCTGGAAAAAAAATCCTTGTAAGGATCATTTTTTCCCATGTGATCTTCTTTTAATTCTGGATTCCTTCCTAGTTTTCTCTGGTATCCTAATGATTCTGGAGGATTTTCCAAAGAGTAAACTGGTTTGGAGGACTCAGCCATGGTCTGGGTATCTCCTACAGGGAAGATCCTGCTGTGATGGCCATTAAACCATATTTTTCCCTCCTTTTCCTCCTCCCCTTGGAGCAGGTGGCACTACGGATCAGGGAACATCCAAAGCTTCACATCCAACCTCAAGAGACACTCGGAAGGAACTTTCACCAGCGACTTCACGAGGTACCTGGACAAGATGAAGGCCAAGGACTTTGTGCATTGGCTCATCAACACCAGGAGGTACCAGGAAAGGGAAAAGGGGGAACATGTCCATGGAATGGTGGGAGGGGATGAGTGTCCAGCCTGGAGAAGAGAAGCTCCAGGGAGAACTTAGAGCCCTTTCCAGTGCCTCAAGGAGCTCCAGGAGAGCTGGAGAAGTACTTGGGACATGGGATGGAGGGACAGGACACAGGGAATGGCTTCCTGCTGGAAAAGGGGAGAGTTAGGTGGGATGTTGGGAAGGAATTCCTCGCTGGGAGGAGCTGAAGTGTTGGAATGGATTTTCCAGAGGATTCTCCATCAAGGAATAAGCTGTTTGGCTTTTGTTTTTCAGGTACAATTAATGGCAAGTCCAGCCCTATCCACCTGGGAATGTGGGATCCCTCCAGCCCCATCCACCTGGGAATGTGAGATCCCTCCAGCCCCAACCACCCTCAGCAGCTCCACAGGAAGGATTGATCCATCACCTGCAGCATCTTGGCCCATTCCATGTTTTCCCAGGCATCTCCTCCAAACCTCTGCAGCCTGGGATGAGCTTTCCCTCGACCCTGGAATTCTCCAGCTTGGCTTTCCCTGCGGTGATCCCTAAATCCCAATAAAACCTTTGCTCAATCCAGCAGTTGCTTCCTGATGTGTCCAAACTTTCCAAGTTGGGATCTCACACAACACTGATCCCATGGGATTTGGAGGCAGGAAATTACCATCTCCACCTTGGCTCAAGTGCCTTGGTTTTCCATCCATCCCTCCATCCCCAACCATCTCCATCCATCTCTCCGTCCATCCCTCCCTCCCTCCCTTCCTTCCTTTTCCCTGGAGCAGATGCCAAACCCACTGAGGGCTCTGAGGGAACCTTTTCCCATGGAATGTCCTCTCCTTCCAGCTCCACCTCTCTCTGGATCAGCCACATATTCCAGAGGGAAAACAACATCCCATCAACTCCCTAGAATGGGAGGAGAACAGGAGAATATTCTCTGCTGCTTCCTGCCAAGGGAAGGGGAAAGGGG